TGTGCTCCCTCCCCTGATGAGGATGCTGACCAGCTTCACCACACTCTTCCTTCCAGACGAGCTTCCAGGGAGATCTCTGAATCAAAGAGGTGACCATTTTCCAGTGAAAGCAGGTGCCAACACCACACAGGCGAGCCAGAGGTGCCGACTCTGGGCCCTGGAGTTGGCACCTCTGGCCTCAACCCAGGTGTCCACCCCCTTTCCCTCTTTAGTCACCCACGAACCATGTGGGACTTTAGACCTAAGTGGCCTTTCTGAACCCGAAGAGTCTCTGTTCGCCAATCCGACTCCACGTGAGCAAGAGCCCAGCAGGCACACCTGGGCAGCCACCTGTGTGTCCCTCTATAAACGCCCGACCTGCCCTCATGGGGCTCTTGTGAGCCTGTGAGCTCTCATCCCAACAAGAGAGCAGCTCTTTCGTAAACAAACTATACCCATCACATTTTTATTTTCTGTTTGTTATGATGTGACTTTTTCAGGGAACCTCACAGAGCTGGGGCAAGACCATCCCTCCCAGGACTGGCTGACTGCTAAGGACAGCAAACAGCTGACCTGGGAGCACATCTTTCACACGCCAGCGAACCACACACCCTCAACATCCCTGCCTTAAAGCAACAGGGCTGGGACCAGGCAACGGGAGGCCTCCGCTGCAATCCAGGCCCACCAGAGTGACTCGCTGGTCCTAAACTGCCCCCCTGCCCAGCCCTGTCTTTCTAGCAGAAGCACCCCATAAAGGCTCCGGCTCAGACTCCACCCAGCCCTAACCACACCTGGTGACTCTCTCTGAGCCTCGGTGTCAGCCCCAGGGGAACCCCAGTTCCCCTTGCAGCTCTGGTTTGTGCTCTCAGGAGTACACGGCCTCTGTCACAAGGAATCAACTCTCTCACAGACAATATAGAAAAGATGAATATATCTGTGTGCCAATAAAGCTTTATTTACAAGAGGCAACCCAGATTGGCAGAAAATACCTGCAAATCACACATCTGACTAGGGATTAATATACAGAATATATAAAGAACTCATCCAACCCAATGACAAAATAACAACCCAATTCAAAAATCGGAAAGAAGTTGAATAGATATTTCTACAAAGAGGATATGCAAATGGCTGATAAGCACATGAACAAAAGCTCCACACCACTAGTCATAAGAAAAACGCAAAGCAAAACCACATGAGATACTATCTCACACCTCCTAGGGTGGCTACCACAAAAAACAAGGAAAAAAGCAGAAGGCACCGCACTGCCCTTGTGCACACGGCGGAGTATAAAACGGGGCCGCCCCGGTGACAAACAGCATGGCAGATCCTCAAAACATAAAACAGAGTTACCACACAACCTGGCAATTCCACTTCTGGAAGAAGAAGAAGAAGAAACAGAAGCAGAGACTTGAGGATGTCTGCAGGCCGGTGGTGCTCTGAGCAGTTGCAGTCACTGAAGCCAAAAGGGGCCACAACCCATCCAAAAGGCGTCCATCCCCAAGGGAAGGAGACGGGGCCCAGCCACGCCGCAGAATGTTACTTAGCCTTCACAAGAAATGAAGTTCTCGGGCGGCACCTGTGGTTCAGTGAGTAGGGTGCCGGCCCCATATACCGAGGGTGGCGGGTTCAAACCCAGCCCCAGCCAAACTGTAACAAAAAAAAAAAAAGTAGCTGGGCTCAGCCCCTGCGGCTAAAGCAGCTAAGGCGCCAGCCACATACACCTGAGCTGGCGGGTTTGAATCCAGACCAGGTCCACCAAACAACAATGATGGCTGCAACGCCAGGTGTTGTGGCAGGGGCCTATAGTCCCAGCTACTTAGGAGGTAGAGGCAGGAGAATCGCTTGAGCCCAGGACTGTGAGCTGTACCCAGGGCGACAGCTTGAGGCTCTGTCTCAACGAAAAAAAAAGAAAGAAATGAAGTTCTCACACAGGGTGCGACACGGGGACCCCTGAAGGCACGATGCTGAGTGCTGTTCAGTGACGAAAGTCAGGCGTGAACAGTAAATACTGTACATTCCAGCCGTGAGAGGAGCAGCCAAATCCACACACACGGCAAGTGGAGCGGTGGGAGCCGGGGACAGGGAGTTAGTGTGCGCTGGGGACAGAGTTTCACCCTGGGAAGGGGAAAAGGTTCCGGAGGTGGGCGGTGGTGACAACCGCACTACAACGCGAATGTGCTTAAGACAACGGAGCTGTGCGCTTAAAAACGGTTAAAAGGGTAAATTTTCTGTTCCATGTATTTTACCACAGTAAAAAGAAGCCCTAAATTTTACTTATGGAAGGAGGAGTGGGCAGGATTTGACCCCCCAGCCACACTCTGCCAACCTCTGACTGAGAACAAGACACTCGGTACCCAGTTTTAGAGAATGAGGCGTGTCATCGCAGAGGGCAGTGCTCTCGCCCCCTACTCTGGCCTGCACGGCTCGCTCGCTGTACCACCCAGGAGCCCACCTGGAGCCTGGGAAACCCTCTCATGCCCTCTGCTTAACCATTCAAGGAATATCTGATTACACCCACAAAACAATGAGACAGAAGCAAAGAACACTTCAGGAGCAGCCAGATCCTCAATTCACCGATTCCGATATCTGGAATTGCCAGTGAAAATTTACAAGACTGTCAATCAATTCCATTACTCCAAAGAGGTACAAACCCTTCTGATGCCAATTATGCAACTTCCCGGCTACTGACTAAATTACCCCTCAAGGGTAATTTTCAATTATTTTTTCTTCTAAATGGCAGTGGGAAGTGATCAGTACACAAGGTTTGAAACCCAGAATCCATCTTTCCACTGTAAAATGACACTGCAGCCATGGTCCAGGGGATGGATGCGGTGGACAGGGCCTTAGGACATTGGAAGGGCCCCTCAGGAGCAGGTCCTCTCGTGGCTTCTGTCAGGACAGAAGCAGGACACCTGTGGATCCAGGAGAAGCTACTGAACGGATGAAAAGAGCCCAGATAAACCTCATCCCAATCAGTAATTCTGTCCCATCCTTCACTGCTGGGGGCTCCCAGAGCATCAAAACCCCACAGATGACAACCTCCCACCCATCCACAAGAGCCACCCTCCTCCAGCCGGGAAGGCCTGGGCAGCTCTTGGGGAAACGTATCTTCCTAATGGACAGCACCATCCCCCTTTCCTGAGACCACCAATTGTGTGGCCCAAAGGAGCCCCAGTCAGAAAACCAGAACGAAAATAAACTCCCTCCCAGGCTTCCCAAGCTGCCCAGACAGACTGGCTTTTCCTTTCCTCCTTCCCCTCTCATAGCAATGGCCACTGTCCCACCCTGTGAGCCAACGGCAATTCCCAAGGAACAGGCTTGAGGCTGCACCCTGATAACAGCTGTGAGGAGCAACAGAGTGGCACGCAAGTGTTGTTGTCAGGGACCCCCATTATGGTGAGAAGGGAAGTTCAGACCAACCAGCCAGGGTCCATACTCAAGAAGCCCCCGTGGAGCAGGCATGAAGGGCTGGGTCCTGACCGCAGGGCCCAGGTGGCTGGACGAAGATGCTGTTCCACATATGGGGGCTCTGAGCTCTCTGCTCCACCGGAGGCTGGGAAGGAACAACAAGGTCAAACCCAGACTCAGAGGAGGTCAAAGGCAATCGACTGCTGACAGCGTCCTGTGGTTGTGAAGCCTGCACAGAACTCACTCCTTCCCCCTAGACATGGGCAAATCTCCTCCCACCTCTAGAATACAGGTGCAGGCCACCTACTCCATGGGAGTCACTCATTCCCATTCCCATCCATGTGGCACCTCTCATCCAGTGCCGTGATACGCAGGAATGGTGCGAGAGCCAAGAGGTTCCTAACAAGGAACCAGTATTGAGCATCAGCCAGAGATGAGCAAGCAGGTGAGGCCAACAGGCTCTGCCCCCTCAGGCTGCTGGGGGCAGCGGGAGCCCTGTCACCATCCCTCCAGGAGAACACCATTCCCCTGGGGAAACAACGGAGGCCAGAGAGGTAGCTCAGAGATTTGGAGGGCCGTGGGGTGAAGAGACGGGCTTGAAATAGAGGAAGGAGAGGACTGGAACTGGACTTCAGATGGGGATAGTGGCTAAGGGGCAGCAGGTGCCCCCAACATCCACGGTCACCAACACAAGGTGGCCCTGAGGCAGCAGCTCTGACATTCTACCCCTGCCGTTGTGTTTATAACCCCAGGGCATGTGGTCTCATGGAGGGTGAAGCCCAGACGTATAGTCAGTACACAAACAGAGATGTGCATACAATCACTTCCACAGTAGGAAGATTTCATGGTGGGGGACAACTAGGAACAACTGTCTGAAAGAGATTCTCAGGCAAGTGATAATGAAAACGTGGTTGAGAAACTGCCCAAGGGGGTCTGGGCCACAGTATCTGCTATTCTGTGGGCCATGCTGAGAGGCAGTGTTCTGCACCAGGAAGACCCAGGAGCCTGTTTCCTCACCTGAAAATGGTGACAGTGTCACCTTCAGTGCAGAGTGAGTGGCAACAAAGGTCGACACTGATGTGATATTTGGCAAACATCAAGTTTAGGTGCACTTTGCAGGTACAATGATAGCCGCGAGGCACAGAGTGGGTATGCAATAAAAGGGATGGGGCGCCCCCCAGCAAGCTGGACCCTGCAGAGCACGGGCCCTGGGCTGCTCTGTGGCCTTCCCTCCACCTGGGCGCCAACATGAAAATGGTGGGGAAGAGCTTGAAGCGGCCACTCACCTGTCTGCGGCCACCCTGACCAAGGCTGGTATGGGCACAGCAGCTCAGGCATCAGAGTGGAACCCAGAGCCAGAGCTGAGGCCTCGAGCCACCATCCCATTAAATTCCCTCAAGGTCACATTAGCTGTACCACCAGGCAGCTTTGTTTCCCCAATGCTAAGAACAACTCCATCCACCCTCTTCTCACCCCAACATGAGCACACAGGTCCTGGCCAGAAGGAACTCACTGTCCTCTGACCATGGCACGAAAGGGGTAAGTTGGACCAGACCTGGGCAATAGCCATTTGCTTGCAGGTAACAAGGACAAGGAAAAACATTCCAACTCACCACAGGTGCCCCACAGAAAGGCTTCTCAGAGCACGAATTGCCTGTGTTCTAGTTGGCCAGGACGGGAAAACTGGACAGACTTCTAGACCTGAGGAGAGGCAAGACCAGGGCATGGTTAGACAGGCAGTAGAGAGGCACATGTTAAAACATCACAGGGATCCTGATTTTTTCTGAGCAAAACCCACAGACCACGCTTCTGGTTCCTGGCAAATGGAGTAGACCCACTTTCCCTGTTCCTCACACACAGCACAACTAGGACACCCAGGATGTTGTACAGAGAACAGAAAGACTCTGCAAGGTGGAGAGAAGGCGGCAGACCAGCCAGGGACAGGGAGCAAGTTCTCACACATCCCAGATGTCACACTGAATAAGCCAGCAACCCAAACACCAGCAGAACCACAACAGAAGCGTGTTCGTTTTAGTCAAAGGACCAGGAAAGTGGCCACAGCAGCAAAGGCTGAGGGGAGGGACCAAGGTGTCCACTTTGTGTGGCTGTAACAATGCGCGCAGTCCCTGCCAGGGAAATGTCAAATAACCCAGAGGAGGAACTGGAACATTTGTCCCCACCAGGAGGTAGCTCCTCCCTTTATCCCATGGTATTAGTGCAGACAACGTGGAAAGGCAGCATTTCCCTAGCCTCCCCCTAGCAGTAAGGAGCCTCCTCCTGACTCCACTGGACTAGTCAGGAGGCCTGGTGCAGTCAGGACTTTGACCACTGCCCGAAGTTAACACCCTCCACCACAATGTCAATAGAGACCCTGCAGGGAGTCAGAACTCCCAGCCAGCAAACAATAGCAAGCAACACACGTGTGCACATGCACCCACACGCACACACGCTATAAGCTGAGGAACCTGCACTGCTGTTCCACCTGGCAGTAATGAGGCACCACTGCATCATACCTTCCCTATGGAAGGGGTATTAGAAAAAGTCAGCTAAAAACAGGATTAAATAAGATCCAGAGTCCACATTTCAATAGAAAATCACTCATCAAGCCAAGAATCAGAAAGATCTCAAACTGAAAGGATAACAATCAAAAGACACCAACACGGGGTGACAAAGATGTTACAATGGTCTGACAAAGAGCAGAAAGCAGTCATCACAAAAATGCTGCCATGAAGATGTGGGAAAGGAATGAAAAAAAATAGGAAGCCTCACAAAACAACAACAACAACAAAGAAGAAGATCTCAGCAAAGAAATCAAAGATGTAAAGAAAAATCAAATGGAAATGATAAAAGTAAAAAACACAATAATTGAAATAAATGACACAATGGATGGACTCAACAGCAGAATGGAAGAAAGAGAGAAAAAAACAGTGAACCATAAGATAGATCAATAGAAATTAGAGATGACCCAAACTATACAACAGAATGGAACAGACTGAAATTAAATTAATAATCAGAACTTCAGGGAGTTGTGGGACTATCATCATAAATCTAACATTCAACTCATTGGAACTCCAGAATGAGAGATGAGAGATGGGAGAGCCTGAAAAAGCATTCAAAGCTTCCCCAACAGAGCAAGAGACACAAACCTATAGATTTAAGAAGCTGAATAATCCCAAATAGAATAAGCCCAAGAAAACTCACACCAAGACACATCATAAAAACTCTGAAAACTGGCCATGCCCACAGCTCAGTGAGTAGGGCGCCAGCCACATATACCAAGGCTGGCAGGTTCAAACCCAGCTGGGACCTGCTAAACAACAATGACAACTGCAACCAAAAAATAGCTGGGTGTTGTGGTGGGTGCCTGTGGTCCCAGCTACTCAGGAGGCTGAGGCAAGAGAATTTCTTGAGCCCGAAGAGTTTGAGGTTGCTGTGAGCTGAGATGCCATGGCACTCTACCAAGGGTAACATAGTGAGACTCTGTCTCAAAAACAAAACAAACAAGCAAAATAAAAAAAAAAACTCCGAAAACTAATGGCAAAGAAAAAAATCCTAAAAACAGGCAGAGAAAAGCAGTAACATTTATAGAGGAAAGATCACTGGAATATCATCCTATTTCTCATTACAAACCAAAAGGCCAAAAGAAAATGGCACAGTATTTTTCAAGTGCTGAAAGAACTTTTTTGTCAATCTAACAAAAAATATTCTGTGAGAATAAAGGGGAAAAATCAAGATAATCTCAGATGAAAGAAAACTAAAAGAATTTGTCATTGGGAGGCTTATTCTAAAAGAATGGTTAAGGAGGACAGTGCCTGTGGCTCAAAAGGGTAGGGCTCCGTTCCCATATGCAGGAGATGGCGGGTTCAAATCCAGCCCCTGCGGGGGGGAAAAAAAAAAGAATGGTTAAGGAAATCTGTCTAAACAGCAATGAAATAATAAAAGGAATTTTGGAACATTAGGAAGGATAAAAGAACATGGTAAGCAAAAATATGAATGGGTAAATATGCTAGGCTTTCCTTTACAAGTTTTCTAAATTATATTTGAGGATTGAAACAAAAATTACAATATTCTGATATGGTTCTAAATGTATATAGAGGAAGTATTTCACAATTATAAATGGGGGAGGGTAAAGAGACATAAAATGAGGTAAGGTTGCATATTTTACTCATATTGGTATCACAACAGATGGTGATAAAGGTATGTGAACATAACACCTGCAGCAACCACTTAGCTATATTAAGAGGCACACTCAAAAACACTACAGAAGAATCAAAATAGAATCCTAAAAATAATAATAACCCATAAGAAGGCAGGAAAAAGAAAACAGAGAAATGAAAAACTTACAGAAAAACATAGGCCCTAACATACTGATAAATGCATTAAATATAAATGGTCAAAATAGAGCAATTAAAGACAGAGACTGGCAGAGCAGATTTGAAAGCACATAATTATATAAGGGCTACAAAAATTCACTTCAAATATAATAAAATAAGCAAGATATATTATGTAAACATAAAATAATAGAGGCATAGCTATGTTAATATTAGATAAAGTAGACTTTGAGGCAAAGAAACTACCAGAAAGAATGTTTATATGATGATAATAGAGTAATCTATTAAGAAGACACAGCAGGCTTGGTGCCTGTAGCTCAAGTGGCTAGGGTGCCAGCCACATACACTGGAGCTGGTGGGTTCAAATCCAGCCCTGGCCCACCAAACAACAATGACAACTACAATCAAAAAATAGCTGGGCATTGTGGCAGTCACCTGTGGTCTCAGCTACTTGAGAGGCTGAGGCAAGAGAATCGCTTGAGCCCAAGAATTTGAGGTTGCTGTGATCTGTGACACCACAGCACTCTACCCAGGGTGACTACTTGAGACTCTGTCTCAAAAAAAAAAAAAGACACAGCAATCCGAAACAACAGAGAAGCAAAACATGTCAAGCAAAAACTGACAGAAGTGAAGAAAGAAGAGACAAATCCACACTTATAACCAGATACTTCAAAAAAACCCTTTCTCAAAAATTGACAGAACAAGCAGACAGAAACATCAGCAAAAATAAGACTCAACACCACCATCACCCAATAGGACCTAAGTGATGTTTGTAGAACATTCTACCCAACTACAGAACACACACCTTTCTCAAGTGCTCATGAAATTTACAGCACTAATAAGTTCCTACCTCAAAAAGCTAGAAAAAGGGGGAGCAAAACAAAACCCAAAGCAAACAGAAGAAAGGAAATAAATATGTGAGTGGGGGAAGAATGGAACTGCAAACAGAAAAACAATAGAGAGAAATCAACAAAATGATGAACTGGTTCTTTATAAAACAGAAAAATAGACAAAACTCTAGTAAAACTGGCGAAAAAGAAGACACAAATTACCAGTAGCAGGATAAAACAGACAATATCATTACAGACCCAGCAGATATCAAAAAGATATTAAGGGAATACCAGATCAGCTCTACACACATGAACTTGACGATGTAGATGAAATAACCCAATTCTTCAAGAAATATAAACTACCACATTTTAAAATAGGCAATTTGAATAATTGACCATAACTATTAAGGAAACTGAATTCATGATTCAAAAACTCTCAGCTTTGTGAGAAAAAGAAATCCTCAGACCTAAATGCATTCACGGGAGAATTCTAGGAAATGCTTAAAGAAGAATTAATATCAATGCACAATCTCTTCCAGAAAATAGAATAGGAGAGAATATTTTCCAATTCATTTTATGAAGCATTACCCTGATACCAAACTAGAAAAAGTGAGTGCAAAAAAGAAAATGACAGATCGATGTCCTTTATGAAAATAAATGTAGAAACCCCTTACAAAATACTAAAAAAAGAGAAATCAGCAAGATACAGAAACAATTACATACCACACCCAAGTGTGGTTTATTCCAGGGATGTCAGGCTGATTTAATGCATCTTAAGTCAGTCAATGTGATCTACTATACATAGGCCACTAGGAAAGTTTTAATGCAGACTGTGTTAGGGTCCATTATCTCATTTCTAAGAAACACAGCGGGACACCGCCCATTCTGATGCACTCGTGCAAGTTTCAGCTTGCTCAGCTTATCAAGCCCTCCTTGCTGGGAGGGCTTCATTTGTTTCTGTCCATGCAGATTTTACATTTGTTTTTTGTGTATCTCAAAACTTTCATAATGACCCACATATCAAGAACCTAAAGAAGAAAAATCGCATGATCATATCAATCAATGCAGAAAAAGCATCTAACAGAATCCAGCAGCTACTTATGGCAAACATCTCCCCAAAATAAGAAGATAGGAATTTCCCTAATTTGATAACGAACATCTGCTAAAACCCATCAAGTAACATCATACCAAATAGTGAAAGACTAAAAGCTTTCCCCCTGTAATCAGGAAAAGGCAAAGATGTTTGTTCTGCTCTTATTTTCAACAACTGCTAGATGTTCTAGCAAGCTCAATAAGGCCAAAAAGAAAAAAAAAAAGGAAATCAAAAGCATACAGACAGAAAAGAAAAAATAAAACTGCATTTGCATGTAGCACGGCACAATTATAACCAAAAAAAAAAAAAAAAAACCTCCTAGAAATAATAAAAGAGCCAGCAAGGTCACGAGACCACAGATGTTAAAGTCAAATGTATTCCCGCAGACTAGCAATGAACCTGTGGGCGCTCTATCATTTATGCTTGCTCAAAACAATGAGCAAGTGT